GTCTTATATGATAATTGCCGCCTCAGCTTTTAGGAGAGTTGCGCGGTATATTACAAACAAAAAGAATAGCTTTCCGCTATCATGTCAAAAGCCTTTTGACTGTCGTTCTCCACCAATGCATTTGCACCATAAACCGATATCAAAGGGTACCGAAAGCAGTTGAGCAGAGACGTGCGATAAATCATTAATAGTGTACATCAATATCGGAATAACATAGATCAATATAGAAAAGCGCTGCGTAAAAATTTTTAATTATTGAATGGTTCAAGTAATATTTTGATTTCGCTGCTTATGCCGCCCCCTTACAGTGCCGCCTGATGCGGCCGCATCACTGCATCATAGCACGGCACTGCCCTGATTGTTATTTCTTTTTCACGTGTACGATAATTTCGTTAGCATAGAAAAGGTTTCATCTGCAAATCTCCCATTGGCACTCAAATTTAAGGTAAGTGAATAATTTATAATAACCTGGGAACACTACATTTCAATAAGACAATTTGGATATACATAAAGTGGCAATGTAAATAAACTTTCAGTATTATAGATTTCATTTGAACTAAACTTAACACATACAGTGAAACCTGTTTAAACCAGAAGGGCACTGAACAGAATATTTTAAAGCTTTGGCAGGTTTTATTGTAATTCGTTTTAATTACGCATATGAAAATAATTAAACAAATTATAGGAAATATGTTGTATATAATTAAACTTTTTTCAGTACGAAAAGAGGAAAAATATAAACATGATGGACAAAAATTCGTAAAATTTACAGAGTTATAAAACTGAAATGCAGTTTTTATTGTAAATATTGTTAGCACAAGAGATTTTCTGTTGACAAAAAATTATCTTCAAAATCATTAAAATGTTGCAGGTACTGCCACCGTTTGTGTGATTTTTGGTGATCTTTGGTGAATTTTATGAATAAAACAAGTAAAACGGCAAAACCGTAGTTGGGACATGACTATGTCTCGGAGACGGAATCACTTTGATGCTCAAGGCAAATCTCGTTCTCATTCTCCTATCTTTGATATCGCTGCTTTTGGGCGATCGTTTAAACTTCGCCTGCCACGACCACGAGATCGTCCACGATGGATCTTCGATGAAATTAACGTATCTAATTTAAAAATTTCTCTTTGATGCGTGTCGGCCTGGTTGAATTTTTGTCGATGAGTAATGAAAAGTGCTCGTTTTTTAAACAATAATCGTGATTATTGTATCATTGTATCGTCCGAAATTATTTTTTTATTTTGCATAAACAATATACAGTTTAAACCGATTATTATGTCATCGAACGTAACGACAACTCTAATATAACGCCAAATTTTTATCGGTCCTACGATTTTAGTATACTAGATAATGTTAAAAATCCCACTTGTAACGACATAAAACCGTTTTAACGTCATATTTGAAGCACACCCAAGTAACTGACTTCTGATTGGCGGATTGTACCGTAAAACGGTACTATCTGCCAATCAGAAGTCAGTTAAATCTAAGTCATTGTGACGCGGTGCGAAAATGGCAAAAAACGAGCTTTTGTGTACGTTTCCTCGTGGCTACTCTAGAATAAATCTGGAAAGATTAATTCGTGTTTCTACGACAACAAGTATCCCGATTATAATAATGAATGCCTAAATCACGCGACCAAAGGAAAATCCTTCAATTTAGAAAAGTATATAATGAAAAAAGCTAAGCTTAATAAGTGCGGTATATTATCTTAATTAATAACACGATAATAAAAGTTAATATATAAAAGTAAAAAACTTGTAGAATATAATCATTATCTTTATAACTTCAATAGTATCGTCGCCGTAAAAACTTCGCTAGCCGGACCTCCACCGTAATCCGAGCGCAAACGCAAATAGGTCATGTGATTAAAAGCTTTTACGGCGAGGGGTTTTTACGCCGTTTTTACGGTAGTGGAGTCAGCCTTAAATGACTGTTTTGTCTGTTTGTAGAAGAAAGTCGCCATTTTGAATTTTCTTTTGACTCGGTTTTCGGTCCCCCGACTGCCAACGAGTCAGAATTTTTTATGTCCAAATGATTTTGGAACCTAATATCTCTGTGCCAAATATCAACTCTCGACATGCAGGCCTAAATTTATACCTCATATTCTTAAACTGACAAAAGTAAATCGAGTGACCAGTGAAAAGTAAAACGGGGTACATAAACACACCTGTGATCGAGAAACAAACTCCCCAAATTACTGTAAAAGGAATTGAGATACGTAACTTTGCATCATCGATCATGGGATGCTTTGTCTTTAAAAAGTTAAAAAATAACAATTTATTTACGCAATTTATTTTTTTTCAAGCTTTGCTCTTTTAAAAAATTTCCTGCGCATTCCCATGATAGTCACATTACAGTAGACCTCCCCTATAAAACAGGCTTATATAATGCGGATTCGTATATAACAGCGAAAAAAAATGCGTCCGTATTTGTATAAACACGCTAAAAGAGACTCGTATAATACAGTAAAACGTCATCGCCGACTCGTGTTGCGACAGGATTGGTCGAATCTAGACCAATAGCGGATATTGCACGAACCGTTGAGTTTAAACGAGCAGCAGACCTACTAAATACCATTTATTATTTAAGCGGCCATAAAAATTATATTTATATTCATGATGTCTCCAAAGTTTAGCGAATTTTTCGCAGAAAAAAAATTTAACAGGAAACACGCGGCCGCCATTCGATGCGTCGCTCCACGACAAAAACAAGCTTAATTAAGCAATGGCGTCGTCGAACGGTGCACACTCGGTAAGTAATCCCACAATTATTTTATAGCCTAGTTTATATGGATTATTCCCAAAAAGTTATACGTGTTTTGGAAATGTTGAGTCAAATTAGTCTAGAATCGATTAATTTTATGGAAGAAAACCTTTCAAACAGACGTAGTCCCTATACTGCACACATGCCGGTCTATGATTGGCTCATGTGTTTAAGGACTTGTACAACATCAATTCCATAAAACACGATTCTACGTATCTACCGATTAATAGGGGGTCGGTCTACTGTACTTTACCGGTGATAGTCATCTATTAACTGGTAAATTTGTTATTCTGTATTTCAGTTGGTGGCGTTGTTGGTGCAGATTACAACTAAAAAATAGAATAATTTTCTGATTAATAATTTTTAAAATCATTGGTTTTTGTTACAAAAGTGAAATTAAATAATTGTTTAAAAATTTCATTTAAAATAAACTCTTAATACTTTTTCTCTAAACATAAAATGACTTATAAAAAAATATGCGTATTACGATTCTTTTAAGACGTGGAACGTTCTATGCTAATATTCGATTGATAACATTACAGGATAAAGAATTCAATTTATTACAAACAGTTACAGTTTGAATGTGTACTTTTCATACTTATCATAAGCTGTACACTTCGTACAAAATTGCTATATTTATAAACATCTGTTTTTAACTCGGCACATCATAAAATTTAACTACAGAAATTGCAACAGGAATGTTTATCCTCCACTGTATTCTTCGGGAAAAAGTCTACAGTTCGTGCCCACTGTATATTACATTGAAATAATTCTTGTCCTGTACTTACAGCATGGAAAAGATCCATTTACAGTACAGTAATACCCCGAACTTACACGATAGGTGGGACCGAGTGATAACCGCGTAAGTCGAATTCGCGTAAGTCGAGGTATAATTTCTAATTTAGCGAGAGTTTCTAATAATTTTTGTTATTTGTCCCCAAGTGTCTAATTATCACAGTTCATAATATTAACCGAAGTTTGATTACTTTAAACGAATTTTATACAGTAGTGATTATGATATTCATTTTCCTCGATTATAATAAGATATTTTCTACTATTACTAATANTATTTGTCCCCAAGTGTCTAATTATCACAGTTCATAATATTAACCGAAGTTTGATTACTTTAAACGAATTTTATACAGTAGTGATTATGATATTCATTTTCCTCGATTATAATAAGATATTTTCTACTATTACTAATAATACAAACTGTTTTATTTTTATACAGATCAGTCTGGAACCAAAGATACAATTTTTCATTATTTTTTCATGATTAAATCATTTATACATCACTAACTTTTATCTGCCAGTTTAAAAGAATTTACCCGAAGGACAAGGCATTAAGGCAATTCAACAAAAGGGTCATATGGCAATTAATAGTTGCACAGTACGAGGCACGTACGGACAGAGCGATATAACCTTGTCTGAACAAACAAACACTAGGGGGACTTTCTGAGGGAATGTGGTTTCAAATAGACACGTAGAAAACACTTGCAAAACTGCATTCTTTTTGTAACGTTTTTGCCATATTTTCTTTATTTTATGGTTTAAAAAATTTATTCGAAGAAACCCATCGTTTTTTTTTACAATACTAGTAACACACAAGCTTATTGTAACACTTGTTTGGGTATCTATGCCTCGAATTTAGTCTGACATAACACTTTCAACAAAATAAATAATAAAAATAAAACAGTGATACAATACAAAAAAGCAAATATATTTACTGAATATGTAAAATATTACCTTTCCAATGTTTATTGACAGATGACTTAATATAAATAATATTGTGTACAAAATTTATTCGAAGAAACCCATCGGTTTTTTTTTTTACAATACTAATAACACACAAGCTTATTGTAACACTTGAGTGGTTATCTATGCCTCGAATTTAGTCTGACATGACACTTTCAACAAAATAAATAATAAAAATAAAACAGTGATACAATACAAAAAAGCAAATATATTTACTGAATATGTAAAATATTACCTTTCCAATGTTTATTGACAGATGACTTAATATCAATAATATTGTGTACGTGTAAAATTGTTATTAAAGTTTTATGTATAATTTTTATTTTATTTACTTTATAGGTAACACGCAAGTAATTTAAAAAATTTAATGATAAAAATCTTTCCAGGTGACGTCGGTAGATGGTGCGACAGTTCACTTTGAATCACGTAGCGTATATCCCACTGCTCGTAGAAGTCACTTTGAATCTGTTTTGTACGACGAAAATGGAGAAGGAACGTGAACTGCCGCAAGACAATAGTGATTCAGAAAGTAAGTTTTGAAAGTAAATTATTATTATTTTTTTAAATTAAGGTATAGAATGGGGCCGTAAAACTGATTAGAAAGTGAGTANCCCCTTCCTCTATGATTCTTCGCCATGATTGGTGCATTTCTCTACTAGTATTTCTATTTATCCTATTATTTTGTCTAATTATATTAATATGCTCATAAAGTTGTCTTTTGTAATTATTCTTTTCTTTTTTCCTTATTCTTACAGAATTTAATACTATTTCACAACCTGTAGTACTAGTATTTCACAACCATTTGCTGAACTTTGGAGGCATCAATAATATAAATATAATTTTTATGGCCGTTAATTAAACAATAAATGGTGTTTAGTAGGTCCGATGCACGTTTAAACTCAACTGTTTGTGCAATATCCGCTATTGGTCTAGATTCGACCAATTCTATCGCGACACGAGTCGGCGATGACATTTTACCGTATTATACGAGTCTCTTTTAGCGTGATTATACGAATACGATCGCAATTTTTTCGCCTTTATTTACGAATTTGTATTATATAAACCCGTTTTATAGGGGTCTACTGTATATAATTTAACCAAATATTGAAGTCTTAAATATGTTTTAATTATGAATAATAAGTTTTTAATAAATGTAAAAAGGGTATTTTTAAAATTAACATGGTGAATTCCACTAGTAGACACGTGTTAGACGATGACCACGTGAATTATAAAAGTTAGTGTTAATATCATTGATATTGACTAACTTCTACTTGTAGCTTATTAACACAAAATAGGTACCTCCCTTTATATATTTGAGAAGTTATTTATTTGTTAGTCGTAAAACTAAACACAAAGGATTAGTCTAGAATATTATCGTATGAGGATCATCATTACTGTATGAACTCTTCAAACAAATGAATGGTTCTGCCTATTAGCTAAGAACACTTGAGGAGTTTTCTATTGTATACGTAATGTGTAGAGAGGACTGATTAGTGACTAGAAGAAACGGGTGACGTTTCATCCCGGAAAAGACTAACCCGATCTTTTTGAAATTAAAAATGTTTTTTTTTTTATGAAGGTTCATATATAGTTTAATATTCAGGAAAAACGTATTGAATTACATGTATAAAAATGACGTCGATGGATAATGTCTAGATACAAGTAAAAAAAAAAAAGGGTCCCCGCATGGCACACCTCTTCCTTTCCTTAGCTAACACATTTTTCATTGTCGAATTAGTCAAATGAGGTATTAAATGAAATATTTCGTAACGTTTTCGTTTCAGCACGTAAAACTCGTTATGCCCTTTACTTCGACATTGCATTTATAGCTTTTTTTTTTAGACTCTCCTCTATTTCCAAAATAAAGCGTATTGCCTGTAATAATGTTTGGAATCATCCATAAATTATAACACTATTTTTATACTTTTTAACAGCCATCCATCATCCTTTACGCACCGTAACGCTGTCTCACGTACCCATACTAAAAATTACGCGATAGAACGGGGTGTCGAGCGTTTTATTATTTATTAGGTGTATAACGTATAGTACAAGGCAGTGGCGTAAATGAGCAACGCTATGCTACATTTCAGAAACAAAAATGAATCATTGTTACCCAAGGATTGATATTCTAAAATTACGTGACGCTTTTTAAAATTTTCCTCCCATTCCTATGCATCTGATTACCTGCATACCCATCCACCGTATACATATTATGTAATTTATGGAGTAACAAATCAAATCTGAAGCTTGATGTTCTCTCTCCCCGGATAAAATAAGGGTTGTAAAATTTGTAAACATGTATTTTCAATCATTACTGTGTAATTTTGATGGCTTCTGGAAGAGATGTGAAACATTCACGCCACACTTAATTTCAGAGGCATCTCATAAGGCTATGTGCTGTTGCAATTACATTTTTACAAGTAATTAAAACACAATAATTGTTGTGTGAAGTCAATTGTTGGCAAATCCTATCAAAGATATAATAGAAAATTATTTTGTATATACTGTATTTACATTTCAGTTTGATGTTTATTTTCCTGTAGATGGTGATCAATCATCATCTGCTCAAGGAGAAGGTAACCAAACAATTGGTAAGTTTATTCGTAGAACTCTTATACTTTTACGTGTAGTTAGTTACAACATACTAAACTAATTTAGATATTAAAATGGGAAGAGCAAGAAATTTCTGAGGGAGTAGAGAGGATGCAGGCCACTGCACAGGATACTCCAGTTGAAACTAGGATAATAAAAGGATCATTTCCTCTTTTTGAAGGCCCGAACAGAGGTAAATTATTATAATATCGATCATTCCTGAATTAAGGCAAGTAGACTATTGAAAATCTCAACTTTGTAATGGGCATAAAAAATTTTTAATTGAAAGAAACGAAGTATGGCATATATACGAGACCTTATCTGAATGGAAACTCTCTTTAATCTTAATTTATTTGCATTTCAACAATGCAAAGACGAGTGATTTATTTAAATTTCTTCTGATTGTTAAATATGACATAGCGAAATGTGAAGATGCGATGATTCTTCCATTGGTGACATCGTACTATTTTGTCAGCCATGTTTAATTATAAATTGTTTTTGAGGTCGTCATTAAAAGAAAATTTTGTAATTTTTTTGCCACTTACGTATATTTGGGTGATTGAGTCATCGTTTCTTCATACATACTCTGGGTGTTTAATGTAATTGTGCTGCTTCAACCCAAAATAAAATGAAAGATGAAATTTTAGGATTTACCCTCTAGAAAGGATTGGGATTCGTAAGCGAATACATTGATTGACGGGCATCTGGGCTAAAAACGAATGGGAGAAAATGAGGATTTTAAAAGTGTTACAGAAAAAGTATTTTTCTAATATAGAAAATTGATTTTGACCAAATTATTTACTTACTTATAAGTAAATACACTGATATAACGAAAATGATATTAACTATTTAAAGAATAGACGTATGTAATTTTTTCATAATTAAAGCTAGTTGCGTGTGCTTGGCCTTTTCAGGAAGAGAGGATGGTGATAAAAAAAACAACTGTCTTAATTACAAACTTAAATGTAGGATTTACAAGCAATTGGAAGTCTTTTAAACGCTTCACTTATTGGTTTCAGGTAAAACTTTAGATATTTCAAAATAAACAATTCATTGTCAGTATTACATAAATCATTAATCAGTGCTCTTGGGGTTACCTCAACATTAATTTTTTCGGTAACAATAGATTATGTGGATTATATACATTAAAAGTTTCAATATTATCATCATAAGTCAATAATACTTTTGTTTCGATAAAATTAGAAGGTAATAATTTAATAAAACAAATACACTTTCTATGTAAAGAGGAGATATTAAAGACTTTTCAGAATGGAAAAAGGCATTAAACTCATTGAATATAGGTAATATAAATTTAAAAATAATAAGTTTTAACATATGGATTCTGCATTTGATTAAAAATAAACTGACATTGTTCGTTTTTTTCTTCCAAATTCTGAGACTCGAAAAACTTCAGCAACACATTTGTATGTAATGATGAACGATCTATGTTTTCTTCATCTCATGGCGACAAGAACATGGAATGAAGAAATAGTCATCGTTTGTTCTTGAACCCCTCCTCTAGTGTTGTGTCGTCTCGACATTATTGTTGTCCTTAGTGTATTAATTATTAGTATATAAATCTTCTCTCTTTAGTTTAATGAGACAACTTAAAGAAATTTGAGTTCGATTACGATAAAATTGTGACGGTGTATAATTACACTACATTCCTCAATCGCAAATATCTATAAATATTACTCTTTTGTATAATTTGTTTTGTAAAACACGCGATTAAATGTGTTTTTAATCTATTATACGTAGTAAATTTGGCTGATATGTGTTCTTTTGCAACATCGTGGACCGATAAAATAACTAATTAACTTCCAATTTTGCAAACCAGTTATTAATTTAGACTTTGATGTTGAAAATAGTTTACAAGGGTAGCAGTAAACACTTTTGCTTCTTTCTGAAAATATCAGCCAATCTCTTTTTTCCATAATTTTATTTGATTTCTTTCTGTAAAAATGATCATAAGAAAGTCTTTTGTAATACACTTCATCTCTGTCTTTACACACTGATTTGAAATTTTGTATATTCCTAACACTTTTTGGTTTGTTTTTAAGATTGTGGTCAATAATAGCATATGTTAATTTTGTTGCCCATAAAGCTGTATCATTTGTCTATATCGTAGCATTTATGCTATCAATCGTAATAAATATAATAAATTGTGAGAGACGCCATCTCTTATGAGATTTTTATCAATCGCTAACAGATGAGCCCGGTGTTGCTCAGGCAAAAAGTAACGATAGCGACGATTAAGATCAGAGCTATTTTCATTGGGGGCTAGAAACCTTTACTCTCTCCCCGAGGAAGGAATTTCGAGAACTCCCTTCTTAGGAGTTGAAAAGTTGAAATTTGGTACACTAATTGTTTGGGCTCTGTATTTATCATCATCATCATCAACCCATCTCGATTATAATAAAAAATAGCAGAAAGCTTAATTTTAAGGGTTGAAATAAACTTCTTAAAAAAATCAGTATTTTCTCATGTTTGTAACCGGAATTTATTTCTTTAAGAAAAAGTAAATCATTAAATTTTATAACCAATAAATTATTAAACTTTATTTCCTTAGATTACAAAAATAAGAGACTAAACTGAGATTTGCTTAATTGACTGAACTTAATAAATAACAATTAACAGTATAAGTTACATCATTACAAGTAAATTCGGTTTAAGGAAGAAGTAAATTTATCGCATATCGAAGTTTCTCTGTTCTCGACACAACAGGCATTACTTAAGTCTTCCTTTCACAAATCCAAGTTAAATCGTGATTAAGTTTTCGTTTTTGAGGACCACAGAATGACTTACAATACACGACCATTGTATCTTCCATCGAGTCCCATTATTAAAAAGAATCAGTGCCAGTCGGAGGTCAGAAGTTGACGATCAAATAAATATTTAGACCCGATTTGGGTGACGTATGCTTCGGCCTGAAGGATCTTCTGTATGAATGAAGCGTAGGTAACAAATTGTGAGCATAGTCTATCGCTTAGTAGATAGCCCCGCAAATTGAACGACGGCATAAGGCATTCGAAAGTAGCTACGCTTATCTTGGTCACTTTAGACAATTTATACAGGAACACTTTACTCAAATACATTTGCGAACAATCACGCATCTTGACTCCTGATCCTGAAACATTATCAGTACGTTATTGTCAATTTCTCAAAAAATTATAAACATCTTTATTTACTTCTATATTAAAATAATAGGATTTCCAGTAATTCTAGTCTTATTCCTTTAGCTTTTATAAGTTTAGTGTATGTAACAACTCTAGTTTTCGACCATTCCTTCTATATATGTAGAAGGGATGGCCATTTGTGCACCTGTTCTAACTGACAAAATGACTTCTGTGTTCTTTAGTGATGTTAGAACAGTAGTCAGTATATTGAAACACAATGAAATTGCCAAGTTGTGAACTACGATAGTGAAACAAAACAAACATTGCAAAGATATCAGAAGAGGAATAATTTCCACAACCCTAGCTCAAACGCCATTCTGCCTTAAATTATTTGTGCAAGAGTCATCATTGTGGAATTCCTAGAATTCGCTCGAGATCTATTTTAAAAAATTAGTTCCTACAACCTTATTTTCTGTCTGTTCGTTGATTATTTAATTATTACTAATTTATGGATTAAATTCTACGAAAATTCACAGGGCATCTATATAAACATAATTCCAAATTAGATAAGAGATTATGTAGTAATAAAACAAACGGTCTTAAAAATACGTTAGCAAGTAAGCATGTTTCCTGTACAAAACAATAATAAACATTAAAATTTCTGTAATAATTTAAGAAAATGTAATTTTTATTTTTGAAGACCCTGAAAATTAGTGCATTGCAATTTTTGGCTAAAGTTCCGAAGTAGGAAAGAGATTCAGTACTAGTTACATAAGCCTTCAATGTATTTTTGTTTTAGTATACCTAGTATCACCTAAATTGCATGACAAACTCAGGTTTTTTTCTTTTTCGTTTATTTCTGCAATACATGACTTTTAAAACATCCTTTGTGAAAAAATTAACAAGGGAATCCCATGTTCTGGATATGGTCTACAGACACAACAAATACAAATCTGAATAAAAGAAAACGAAGGATTCTCGTGTTATCTCTTCACCTTTTCATACTCTTTCCAACCAGTATTCCAGTGTGTAGCAACTCTTTTAATACATTGTAATAGCATGCAAATGGGCATAACTAAGGCTTAGACATAATTATATACAAAATATGTTAATGCTGAAGCAAATTGCTTACAGAATCTTACAGGAGAAATCGTATTTGACTAGGAAATAAAACTGTTAAACTATGAGAGATTAAAAGCTATAAAAAATGGTTTATGAACCTATTAGAAGACTGAAGAACTAATTTAACACTGATACAATGTATTGCATATGTATGTCAATTAGATAAACTTTCCATTTCATCAAAGAAATCTTTTCTATTTATGAACAGAATTTCAGGATTTCAAAAGTCTATCTAATAGAGTGATACGTTTCACCATTTTTTTTACAAATTCCGTTAGAAAGCAAAATATATTTGTGCTATTTGTAACATTAAACACAGAGATTTCAATTTAGACAACTTTGAAATTTCTCGAAAATAATTCTCTACTCACCTGGATCCATCAACAACACCAGTTGGGTTGGTAATATTGGGTTACCCTCATGTAATCCCATTCGATAGGCAGTGTCTTTTATATTTTGAATCATATTCTTCAATTTTGAGGCGATTTCGTCATCGTAGGGCGACGATTCTGGAATATCGTACATCGCGCGAATAAACAGCACCACTTTGATTATATTGGCTTGAATCAAGCTTCGAGAATCGTGTATAGTAAAGTGACTAAAAAGGTGCTTCCTTGTTTGCAACAGACAATGAGCGAAGCTTTCGTTTATGAAGCGATATGGAATACCTTCGTTTCCGAGTGGGCGCTAAAATAAGAAAACATGTGTTAAATTAGTGAACATTTACAACAAAGACTTCATTACACAGTCATTAAATTTGAAATGTCCGAGATTACGGAATAGTTTAAACTGTTATATCGCAATAAACTCAACTGGTAAGTTGAGTCGATTCGAAGTGTATATTTGATAAACCTGAATGACGAATGATCTTAATTCTTCAAGAATCATCAGAAAAATTAGTTTCGGATTTGAATCCCTGAAAATAAAAAATGTGTTGAAGTGAGTGTCTCCCGTAGAAAGCGGCACGTGCCCTAGTTTTCGTCTCGATTTCCCTTTTCCTAATCGCAAAATAGAAAATTCGCGAA